ATACAAACCTGTTGTGTGCATTGTATTGGTCATATTATCTGCAGCCTGCCATCCGTAGCAGCAAAGTTATGAGGAGTAAAAATGTCACTTGGGTGAATGAAACAAAACACATGCTCTTTTTTACTTTAGGATGCAGTTCAGCAAGGCTTTCTGACTTGTGTCTGAACTAAGTTGAGATATTTGTTCCTGGGGTTCCCCCTTAACCAACAAGGAGTGCTTTGGCATTCAAAACAGTCTTTACATCTATCAAATAGTTCAAATCTATCAGTCTTCATTTGGAGCCTTTCCTGGCTTGGTCTTAGGCCTGCTGAATTGTATAAAGCAAATCTTTTCTACATCATTAGTTAAAGTCATGCTACCACTACATGAATCTAGTCTTTGTGGGTAGGAAGTCTGCTTTGGTGTAAAGAATAGCCTAAAGCCTAATCTTTCTGAGCTATACACTTAAATTTCCCAGAATCATTTTGTAGATGAATACAGAGTAATAGAGCTTATCTGAGCTGTCTTGCTCTTCATTGGCTAGGATCAGCTAGGGTATCTACACTTGCCTGTATCTCCTGGCTGAAGGTAGCATTGTCAAAAGCATCTTCAAGAGACTCAAAAGCTATTACAAAAACTGAGGAAATTAAAGCTGAAAGGGCTAAAGATATGTGATATATTTGCATTAGTCAGGCTCAGTTTCCCCCAAAAGTAGGGTACAAAACCTGGTGTTCCAGATGATGGTAGGCAGTGCCTGAGATTCAGGAGTAGCTTTTTCACCCAGTTATCCCAGTTTTGGAGATGGGCAGTTGTCCTGTTATGTTTCCCTTCCTCTCCAGACCATCTCAAGCCCTTTCTCGATGACTCCACTCTGCGATTTGTGGACAAGCTCTTTGAAGCTGTGGAGGAAGGGCGAAGCTCCAGGCACTCAAAATCGAACAGCGACCGGAACCGAAAGAGAGAGCTGAAGGTAAGAAAAGGGCCGATTGTTTGTGTGTTAAAGGGTATGAACGCGTGACTGTTACCTGACCACATTTTCCTCTTCCAGAGAGGCACATCTTGTAAAGCTTAAAGTTCAAGAGAAAAGACTTTTCTCTGTAATGAAGTGTGTGAGCCTTTACTTTTCAGTTCTTTTTGCCTTTTTCTGAGGTACCTTGAGGTACCAAAAATACTTTCCCAGACCTTGTCCTGGGCATCTGTTTTCTTTAACTGTCCCTGGTAGGTTTAGTGCATCAGTCCACCTCAAACAGTAGAGAGCTACATATCTTGTCATTATTCTTACTACTTTATTTTCTGCAGCATTTTGCCACATTGAGTCTCCTTCCCTACCAGCAGGGAGTTTGGGTTATCTAGTCATGGCTTCTGGTAACTTCGTGTTTCTCATCCTTGCTCAGATGCGTCATCCTAAGTTCTATAAACAGCTGCTCTCATGGCTGTTAGTGAACAAATTAGTGTTTCTTTGGTGGATTTTCACTTTCTCTATTCACTGAAGTGCATCTAGAACTCTCAGTGCTTGGTTTTTAGCAATTTCTTTTCCTCATTAAAGTTTAAGGTCCTGAAACACACAATGAAGATTTCATAGTTTTGATAATTTTTCCCCATCTTGCAGTTGGCTGGGATGGGAGAGGTTCTCATGCATCCCAAGCTGTTTTCTGCTTCTCCTCTCTCTTGAAGACTTTGCTCTCAGGCTTTGGGAATTATGATGTTTTCATCCCTCACATTCAGAGTTTAAAAGTGCCTACTCTTCATGCTGTTCCATGGCCTCAAAGTAAGTTTCCTTTCACTTTTTCTGAGGTTCCTATTTTATTGTAATTTTTATTTTTTTTCCCCCCCTCACTAAAGTTTTGAGTAGTTGTTGAGTACATCACCTTTCTAGATTTCCTTTCAAGGCTCAAAACAATGTCGTTTCAGTTCTCTGTGGAGCAAATGCTTTGTATTGAGAGAGCAATTTCCATGCATTGTGTTCTCTGTTTGAAACTTTTCTTCTTGGTTTGGCTGAGACTGTTTAAACTGTACCAGAGAAGGGTGTGCTCACCTTTCCTCCTGGTTTCAGTGACATTCACTGGTTAAATACAAGGTAGAAGAGAAGATCCAGAGTAGGTACAGTTCTAGAACCAGCAGAACCATGTTCCCCTTAGTTTGGCTTGTCAGTGTGCCTTCTCTTCCACATCAGGGAAGAGATAATGGAAGTGTATTTGCATGGTTCACTCAGTCCTCAGCCCCTCTGCCAAGATTGTCAGCAAGGGAGAGCCTACATGTGCCCTGTAGCGATGTTTTTGGGATATAGGCTCCATAATTAAAAATCAGATTGAAGCTCACTGCTAATTTCCCACAAGCCTCGGAATGGCTTGAGCGAGCTTGAAGGTCAATTTGTTAGCCCCCTGTTTTGTCCCAGCCAGATCCTCAAGGCCTCTTGTTTCCCAAGAACCTGGAAACATTTCAGTGATGACATGCAGCCACTTGACATCCCGCTGCAAAAACAGATGGGTCAGCAGAGGGGTTGGGAGCTGCACTTCACAGAGAACTGTTGTTAAAACCCTATGCCCTTTTGCAATCTGGGTTACAAAATATTTACAAGAATTACTGCAACCTCCTTAAAAACTCCTTCTGGTGCAGAATTGACTTAGCACTAAGCAGCAGTACCTCAGACTGTAGGACTAGAAGGGAAGCCCATGACATCTTGCTGAAAGCCTGGGGGGAGGATCTTAGGTAGATGGACTTGATATCAAGCAGGAACTGGATGGGGGAATTGGTCTTAATGCTGTTCCCTAGTAAAAAAGGTGACCAAGTAATCACTGCCCTCTGTAAACCAGAGTGCCATCAACTCCCCTCTCTGGAGTTACTTTTCTTAGAAGTATCACATCCAAATATTGATCTACCCTGCCTCTGTGTAGCATAACACATAACAAGATTACATCTCACAGTGGTATAATTGCAGGATGATTCTTTTCCTTCTAGCTTCTCCTTAAATATTAGCAGTGCTTTTATGTATGTCCCCAGACTTAGGGTTGTTGTGGTGAATAGAGGATTGAAAGAAAACATTAGAAACCAGTCTTATTGGCTGTCTCCAATGCTCTGATCTTCTTTCTCCTCTCTCCCTGGTACACTTTTATATGGGTTAGATCATTGCTTGGGAAGCGTCAGGAACTGAAACGTAATGGTCTACACACTTTATACTATGGGCAAGTCCTTTCTCTTGAACTTGTAGGTTTTCCAAGAAGTCCCAGTGTCTGGACGAGGATGTGTCCTTGTACAATATGAACGATAATAGTGAAGAGGGGATTTCAACTAACGCTTATGACCGGTGTGTATATTTTCTTTTCCAATAACATAACACATTCACTTGTCATACACTGTGCCCATGGTGTGGCAAACTGTGGGTTCAACTATACACGAAAATGGCACGCATTTAACTAAACTGGTTTAGTTAAATCAGTGCAGTTCTGTGGGATGGGTACTGTTAAGTTAATTTGAGGTTTAGATTGGGTTAAATCACTTTAGTTTGTTGCCTGGAGCTGTAATGGCAGAGTATAATGGCTAGGCTGCAGTACTGCAGAGAGAGAGCTGGGGGTTATAGTATACCATAAGCTGAACAGTAGCCAACAGCATGCTCTTGTTGCAAAAAAGGCCAGTAGTATTCTGCGTTGTATTAATAGAATTGTCACTTGCAAATCAAGGGGATTGATTATTTCACTCTGAGCACGGGTGAGGCCTCACTTGGAACACAGGGTCTAGTTTTGGGCAGATTGGAAAGAGTCTGTCACAGAAAAACAACATTTAGGGGCCGGAGAAGTAAGACTTATGGAAGAAACGCTGAAAGAGCTAGGGGTATTTAATCTGGAGAAGAAAAGACTGAGAAGGGGATTTGATAAGTTTTCAAGTACATGAAGGACAATTAGAGAGAGGATGGAGATGGGCTTTTTCTCTGTGGCCATAGGAGACAGGACTAGGAGTAATGGCCTCAAGCTGCAGCAGGGGAAATTGAGATTGGAGATGAGGAGGAGCTTTCTGACATGAGGGTGATCAAGCAGTGGAACAGGCTGCCTAGAGAGGTAGTGAAGTCTCCATCCTGGGGAGCTTTCAAGAGCAGGTTGGACAGACACTTGGCTGGGGTGGTTTGGTCAGGGACAATCCTGCCTTGAGCAGAGGGCTGAACTGGATGACCTTGTGAGGTCCCTTCTAGCCCTACTATCCTATGATCCTAGGTAGGTACATGGATGAGAAAGCACAGGGGTGTACTGAGAAGAATTGGGGGAAAAGATATCACTTTTAACTATTCCAAAGGATGGCAGGGACTTCACACAGAGGTTTAACTGCTTTGCAAATATTCCTTAATCCTGTTAGCTCACTCGCCCTGTTGGATGGACCATCACTTCTCATTTCATGAATGGGAAACAAAAGCACAGATGTAATTTGCACAGGATTAGCCCATTGGATCAGTTGGTAGGCTAGGCACACACCTCAGGAGTGCAGATTGAGTGTTCAGTACCTACTTAGCCAGAGCATGTTTTTCCAGTTCCGAATTGCTGGACCATCCTGCGGTGCTTTCTAATTTACAGCCATGATCTTGAGTAGTGTGGATAGATCTCCAATCACTAACTGTCCCCTCTCTTGACATTAGGACGTGTTCGGGGATGACTCGGAGGTCTCCAAGGAATCATCTGGTGTCAAGAAGCGGCGTATTCCACGTTTTGAAGAGGTAGAAGATGAGCCAGAGGTGATCCCAGGCCCACCTTCAGAGAGTCCCGGAATGCTAACCAAACTCCAGGTTAGTCTTAGGCCTCCCCCTGTCCCCACCATAACCCAGAACACC